CACACACACACACACACACACACACACACACACACACACAGAAAAGCTAAAAGAGCATATTAAAGCATATGTTGAGCTTATGTTTTATAGAAAATGATGCTGGACATTAAACAAAATATGGAGTACTTAAAATGAGCTCAATCTGAAACATATGAAGCAGTAATATTAATTACTTTAACATCGATTGGGAATGTATTTCTGCAGAATAATTACTTTCACTTTTGATATCTTATGGAAAATTTTCCAATAATGCAATTCTATGTCTACTGAGGTTTTTTCATTGTGGTTTATTGCATCATTTCTTAAAGGAATGATTTGAAAAGTTACCAAAACACTAGTCATTTTCGGTTAATAATAAATAATTTTGGTAACATAGTAGATATTTATTCAACTAAAAAAATTATTAATATTTTGTAATTCTTCAGCCAGGAAGAAGTGCGGAAAGTTGAAGATGTCCATATACAGTTTAACTTGTTAAATTGTTAAATAGGGCAGGAAGATGTTATGTGTGTGAGAGAGAAACAGAGTGTGAGCGGGGCAGGAGAGGGGGTCATCTTTGCAACCTATCTATCCATCCATCCATAATTGGATCTTCTACAGTCACTGTATCAAGACTCCAACATGTTTCAGAGAAAACACCACAAAAAAAAGTTTCCCCTGACTCTCCTCTCTGAGCTGACCAGTTAAATTCCCCAGAAGACGTATTATCCATCTGAAGGGCATTAGCTGAAAGTAAGAAAACCACAATCTAGAGAACAGGGTTCAACAAATGCAAGCAGAGAAAATTTAACTAGAGGAGAAGTGCAGACAAATGGAGCCCCAAAATAAACACTTGGAAGAAACGCACAATGGCTTTCTCATGAACTGACAAGACCAACAAATTAACAATACACAATAACAGCCCAATATTTAGATTATAAATGAAGGCTGGGAAATAATATTTGGATAAGTACGGCAGCAGATTATAGACCTGAGAACAAGAAATAAGAACAAGAGAAAACACATAAAGACCTACAGTGTTCGCTTCAAACAATGCACTGGAGAAATCAGGAGTTAGAAGACATGTACAACCAAGTACAACGGAGGAATACAGACACGAGGCAAAGCTAGTACAGGAGGCAAAATAAAAAAAGAACTGAAAGAAAAGCTTGAAGAAAAACAAGCAAAATTAGAAGAACTGTAGAAAAGATGCAAGAAAGTTGAGAGGGGAAACGCAGAAGCAATCGATGACATAAAAAACCTCAGCGCTCCAGGAACAGTGACTGAAAAAGAAGAAAAAAAACGCTTCTGCTTTTTCAATGCTTGATCATGAGGAGGCGTAGTCTCATCTTCCTCCACCTTTTCTCTCCCCTTCCTCTCCGATCATCTCTCTGTTGGTCTCCCCTCCCTCTTCATCATTTTTCACCCTCACACCCCAACCAGTCACGGCAGTTGACTGTCCCTTCCTGAGCCTGGTTCTGTCAGAGGTTTCTTCCTATTTAAAGGGAGGTTTTCCTCCCCACTGTCACCTAGTGCTTGCTCAGGGGGAATTGTTGGGCTTTTCTCTCCTATCTCTTTCCTTCTTTTTATTTGTGTTTTTCATTTTTTTTTCATTGAGAACACAGGGTAGGGAGATAGGAGGAAAAAATAAAGACAAATGAATCTTTTTTTTCTTACATGCATCAAATCAATGTCTTCATTCAAGAATAATTTAAGAAATCAATGCCAAAATTACACATCTCCAAGTCTTAAAGACAATCCTAAACCAAATAGAAACAGCTCTGCGCTGGACTACACCCCCTGTAACTAGGGCCCCTGAAAATAAGCCACTATAACTAGTCTCTATCATGACCTAGCACACAGTAGTCCTTTAAGCTGCATACCAGATACTACTCACCAATCCCACCATATTAAACTCTGCAGCTTCACTCACAAAAGACGGGCTACATCTGCCAAAACATGCAATAAACATACTGAACTTTTTGCCTGTATTCTGCACTTGTGTTCACGTCCAGCCTTCTTCCACGACAGATTCTTTAGTGCTTTTGCAGGTATCAGGTTAGATAGAAATGATTTTTAGACAGTTGTTCCATCACACTTCAGCAATAGGAAAACATCAGTTAATCTCAATTTCCATAATCTAGAAATTTGAAGTCACTACTCAAGAAATCTCTGTATCACAATCTCTTTATGACTGCGCATGGATAAAGGAAGATAGTCTAGGTGTAGCATAGACAGCATGAGCTAGAAAATGAATAAGTTGATTAAGTTAATCTTATTCAAGTAAGAGCAACCTTTTTAAAGGGTAAATTTAACTTGATAAAAACTTCAGCGTATAGGGATGTGCATTTTGTTTTTTGCAGAAGTCAAAACCAACCTTCAAAATCTTTGTAAAGAGGACAGTGCTAACCAGTGGTCAATGTTACATGTACAGTATAAGTCTAGAAGATCACAATTTATCTCAGTTCCCCAGTGAAATGGAAAATCCCACCAAACACATAAAAAAACCTCACATAAACAAAAACAAGTGTCCCAAAGCTGAACTAATGATTTATTTTGTACATATACATGTACAGCATTTTCAGGAAAACGTGTGTACTAATGCAAAGTGGTTACAAAAATAAAGCACATTCTTACGTAAATATGACATGACAGAAAAACTACACTTACAAATGCTGATTAAGAAAATAAGGGACCATCTCACTTGAACGTCTTTCTGTCATTGTTAGACAAGTTTCTCAAAACAAAAAAGAATGGTTAGCAATCTGCACAAGTTCTGTTCAGTGCTTTATATGTGCACACTTGTACATGTCAGTCACTTTCATGGTTCTAGACAAATCTCTGCAGCAGTTCCCAGTGGTTTCCTTTAGGCCTCCACGTCTGACAAAATAGGACCAAATATATACTCTTGAAGAAACTGACATAAACATAACTATCATATGTGTCACTGTAGAAAATACTACCAAAGCAGAGGTTACATTTTCACACCCTGCGCTCACTGTAACAGCTTATATCATTTTGTAACGCCTCTGACAAGCTTGTAACCTTGTCAAATCTGCCTCTATCATCTAATACGTAATCTATGATATACTGTTTGAATGTGCTAATACTCCTGGTACATGGCCCCAGTTATCAATAGTGTTTGTTTGATAATATCAAAAAAACCTCTTGAAATAGAACAATTCATTTTAGTGCATCAAAACATTATCTGACATGCATCAATCTGTTAGTGTGGAATGACTCACATATGCCTATCTTCTAATGTAAACTGTAGGCAATGCTACCTTGGGACAGTACCTCCATGTTAAAATAAACAAGAGACATAAATATATATCCCACTGACAGGACGGTGAGTTTTACAGACACTCGTGTCCCTGTTAATCTCTGCTGGATTCTTGCTTTATACCATCTTAAATCAGAAACATAAACAAGGCAATATACCAGAGAAATGCTGTGGAAATGTGGCGCTTATCATACTGAAGTACTGTACAAGATAAGAGAAGATGATGTCATTAAAAAGACAAAAGAAAAAAAAAATGGACGGAAGTTTCTTGTGTGTTTCAAAATTGTCCTCTCAGTTGCTGCTTATAGAGGTAAAGTGTTCAAAAAGGCAGTCGGGGTCTTTAAAGAGTCTCCCTCTTCATCAAGCTATCGCTTTCGCCTCAGGCAGGAATGCCTCCCAAAACTTTATGAGCTGGAAAACAATCAGAGTGAGAAGAAGACAAA